TCAGTTCTTTTAATCCTCTGTACCAGAATTTTTTCAGTGCTCAAGTAGTGTGAAGCTAAGTAACAAAGTCGGAAATCAGTACTCTGAGCGAGAGACACAAGGGGTCGAGTCTTTAGATCTTAAATTAGAAGTCACATGAAAGACAATCTAAAATAAGTAACATAGATTTGTTTATTGTATTAAATTGAGCGTCGAAGACTTCTATTTGATAAAAAAATTCAAGTTTTCTAGAATAGAAATAATCACTGACAAACGTAATTTATAAACGTCCTTATTATAAATCTCGCATTCTGATTGGTTGGGAGCGCATGCTTTATGAGAGCACACAGCACGCACGCCCCCTTTGCATTTTATAAAAGAAATAAAAAACTTGTTGTGCTGTGTGCAGTTATAAAGTACTTAGGGATTGACAGAATACTCGGGAAGTGTCGAGAAGCACTTCGCTACGGGTCGTGCTTCTCCTAACACTTCTCTCGTGTGCTGCCAATTCCCGCGTGCTTTATAACTGCACACAGCACGCGCACGCGTTTTCTATTTCTTTACTGTGACGGCTTAAGGAGCTGATTTAACGGACGCTTCATCAGTCAATTGACATTTCATGCTGATCAAGAGACGAGATAAATAGAGCAGCTTCTTACGACTGTGAAAGAAATTACTCTCCATCCAATCAAATAGCAGGAGCGCGACACTAACACGGTCACGTCAAGGTCACGGCACTGAATCACGCGCATTGTTTGAGAAAAAAATCAGGCAATAAAAATCCTAGAAAGCATCACGGTACGGCACCGAGCTAAAACAGCCACATGGTGCACCGTGACGACAAATATTAATACACATTGAAGACTAATTATTGATAATTATTAAATAAATACAAATATAATATCCAGTTGAATAAACTGTTGTTTTTTATTTCTATAGTAGAAGTCACAGAAATTAGCTGATTTGGGGTTGGGAGTGATAAGAGGGGGGTTCTTAAGATGGACTTTTTTTTTACCGGGGGGGGAGGGGGGGGGGAGGGGGAAGGAGATTAGGTTTTTTACCTGTCTTGCCGCCTGTTTTGTCTTTATAGACCTCAACCCTTGAAGATGTACGACTTTTATTGTCTTTGGGTTTGAGGAGAAGGTTCAATCTTTCACTAAAACCAGTGATGTCGCTTCCTATTTACTGGGTTGCCTGTGGCAGCCCTGTCTAAAAATAGGTCTGGTTGAGTGTCTCCGTATTTTCCTTCGTCAGAAAATGCCAAAATTGCATTTCATTTTGACACCTATATGAAAATAATAAATGGCCGGCAGTTTCATTTTTTCTGGGGATTTTCCTCTGTTAGATTTTAATTTGACGGATTGGAATAGACAGAAATAGGTTACTGAAAAATAGAAAAGTTTCACTATTTCTATATTCTATTATTTTTAAAATAAAAAAAAAGAAAAAGAAAAAGAAATCAAAAAAGAAAAACAGATCAAAAAAGAAAAAAAAAAGAAAGAAAAAGAAGAAAACGGAAAAAAGGAGCAAAAGCGTGAGTAGGTATAATGTTTAGGTCACCCATCCAAGTGCTAACCCTCCTCAGACGAGCTTGACGTTAAGTATCTTGAACGACAACGATCTATCCACTGGACCACGGTTCCAGGTGAATCAGTATAACAATAGCCGTGAAAACAATGCACCGAATAGACTAGACTTTTTAACAATATACTTTCAACCGATTCCGTGCGTGGCAGAGATGCAAGGGATTAGCCGATATGGTCTGGGGGCTGGCTGGTCTCTCCCCTGATGCTTCGGCTAGAACATTTTCTTGCGTAATTCGTRMACCCAAGGGCAGAAGGATTTAATCGCCGTCAGGTCCGAAGTCCATACGCCGCCTCAGCTCTGCGGATGTCTCGGGGGTATGGCACAGTGGARTCGATTTTTTGAATTTCTTTTTGAAGGGTTCGAAGCCCATYTTTTCCRCATAAGATTTTTTTTTTTTTTTTTTTAATCCATTTTTTTATTAGATTTGAATCTTCAACAATAAGACAATTGTTTTAGTGAAAAAAATTTTTTTTTTTCTAGTCGGTTGCTGATAAGCCTGTATAAGTTCGATCAGACGTTATCAGTCATGTGAGCAATATCGATCCGCGAAAAGTAGAGCTATGCTTTCTTATCTTTAATTTCCTGGCAAAGTTTACCAACAAGAACATTTCTCTATATTATATGCCCGCAAAGGACTAGTAGGTGGTGCCCTGAAGATTTCTGGGTACTATTGCTTAATTTCTGCATTCTCTGACAAGGAAAATAAACAGCCAACCCAGTAAATAATATAATAAAAAAGGATGCTAAAAAAATAAGAAAATTAATTGGTGATTCTGACTAAGAACATTGGGATATTTGATCTCGTTGCGTAGTCACGGCGCAAGATTAAATTCACAAATAGCGTGACATGCATAACGCAAAATTGTTTATTTTATAGCCTACAAAATGGCAGAACCTGCAATTATTTTGAAATTATGTAGAGAACACCTTAAGTGAGAAGATCGTCTTAGATGAGTTAAACGAACTCATTCTTTTTTGTGAAACATTCCATTATCTTTTGACTGACATCGCAAACGTCCTGCCTTTCCCTCCCCTCCACTCTCAGTCCATCAAGTGATCGATGCACCAAACACACCACGAGCTGATCACGTGAAACTGTTGCCGTGTTTGCAACTCTTCTATGAATGGGAAAATACCTTCACAGTTGGTTTTAATACATTTTWAAATTATTATCATGATAAGATAATTCTAAAGTCAACTCTGTCTTTCACTTTTTACTCAAAAATAAGCTCTGAAAGAACATTTCATTCATATATCTCATGCACACCTTCACAATGAGTGTCAAGAAACCGTGCAAAATCAAAAAACAAAGGTGCAAAGATTGATTGACAGGAGTCTATTGTTCCCATTGGTTGGTGATGAAATCATTGATTTTGAAATCTTTTCTTATTGGTTAGTTTTGACGTAATAGTCTTTGACCARCTTTCCTATTGGTTGATTGATCACGCTGGCATGAAAAAGGTTTTCAAGGTGTTTCAAATCTTTTCCCTCACTTGCTGCACGACCGTYGAATAGGTAAGTCACAATAATTTATACTTCTACAAGACAGCTGTTTTTAACTCAAAAAACAAGCAAAATTACCTACGAATGTTTCGAACTGTTGTCAAAGAAAGTSCAAAGCCTTTTTKAGAGTTCAAAATGAATAACGTTTTCGAAAAGAGTGGAGGAATTGAAGACGAAAGTTGGTCGCTTCGAAGGCCACACGTGGGCCGGGAACTGAAGAAAATTGAAACAATTTTGCTCTTTTTTCGTTTCAAAACCTTTTCAAACCAAAGCTATTGATCTATTCATATACTAAAGTTCGAATTCTGTACACAATAGTGTTCTTTTTGTTGTTATTGTTAACGACGTTACCCGAACTTTTTTCAGCCCATTCAGAGCAGTTGAACATTGACGTTGGGAACACAGAAAAGATAATAATCTGAATAAATACTAAAATATATTTAATGAAAATATAATTTGTGACAATTTTCTTGAAGTTTAATTCGTTTTTACTAAAAAGTTTTTTCCCGCTCTTTTTATACTTCACTGTAAAAACATCGAAGTTTGAAAAACAATCAAAAGAATGGATAATATTCTAATATTTACACATAAAAACCTCTCTAACCTTATTGTATAAAATGCATTTTTATTATTAGAAATTATTCAAGTTTTTTCTTTCTATTTTTCTTTCAGGGTTTGCATTCCGTGTAAAAAGGTTGCAGCAAAACAAGGTGACACTTTTATTTTTGGCGCGCAAAATAGATATACCTTTTTTTTTTTTGAATTTTTACCTCATTATTCGAGAAACTTCGTTAAAGCTTTTCTTCTACTTTCTTAATATTCCAGCGAATCTTTTTTCCGGCAAAAAAGCACTTTTTTTGAACAAGACATTTTAAACCTATGTTTTCTAGTGAAAAACGATTGAAATTTCGAAAGCATCCTAATTAACTAAACCTTTAGCAGCAGGTAGGGGGACTCGCGATCGATGCCAAAGATATACGGGTTTAACTCGCGGATTTACGAAGACGGGTACAGCAGATTTA